GTTGCTACGTCCATCTTTTATACAGTCTATGGCCCTGACAGGAGACTTTGGCTAATCACAGAGCTTTTCCAACAGATCAGGTGAGCTACTGGACAGAGAAACAAAGTCTAACTGGACATCAGAGTGTATCTGGTCTCATCTGCTGGGAGGGCTCAGGACAGAAAGAAGAGGTCTAAATTTTCAAATTCTGTTTTTAAGAAAAAACTATCAAATTTGGCGGAGAAAGATGCTTCCATATGGAGTATGAAACTAATCTGTATGATGTGGTATTTCCTTTAAAGACACAAGATCTCAACCCAGCTTGGGAAACTTTTGTAGCAACATGTCAAACAGTGCTCTCATCTGCCATCATCAAAACACCAAATTAGAGAATATCTTTGCCCAACATCTTACTGAGACACATCATGCTCTTTTTTTTCTTCTTTTCGGAAAGCAAACAGGTGTCATGAAGCTCAAATGGCAAACCGCAGCACTGACTAATTAGCAGAATTGAAAATAGTAATCCATCAATATGTGTAGTCGGGGCCCTGAAGCTGTGGTAAAATTAGATATCTGCTCTCAATTTGATCAGATAAATCCTTTAATAGTCATGACAACAGCTGCATAAAGCTCTGTGGAGTGAACGATGAGATCATGTGTGTTTTTGAGGGCATTTCAGTGTCGAAAGGAACCATGAAGTTCACTGCAACTCTGTTCACAAGTATTAACCTGCTTAGGTCAAGGCTTCACCTCCCTCGACCTCACTATGTCTGGAGACAGGCTTGAACTTTGCCCTTTCACTGAGAGGAGAGATCAATGAGCACGAGGCACTTGACTTAAATCAGTGATAACAAAACTCCCCGTATAAGGCGGAGGACGTGTAATTCCAAGAGTGGACGGTAGTTTACAACCCCTGCAATGAGGAAAGTCGATGCTTTGGTGCTGCGCACACTCAAGAGATTGAGGAGAGTGTAGTCCATCAATCCATCCGCCTGATTGATAACACAGAACCGTACCAGACTGCGTGTTGCCATGAGAATAAGAGGCTGCGTTTCCCTGGCAACTATTCTGCAAATATCCCGCCTTCCTCCTGTCTGCACTCTCCCCTGATGAGATTTGATGATGCAAGGGCAGCCGCAGCAGTGTTAATAGTTACACCAGTCAGCGGATAAGACGGCGCTGGAGCTGCACAATAAAGGAAACAACGAGATTAAATCAAAAGAAAGAGAGACGGAGGCACCTTCCAGGATCCCTGATTGGATTGATTGTTTAGCTTGCTGATTGTTTTTAACACCCATAAAAGCTAGAACTAATAACTGCTGGGCAGACGCTTTAGAGCTCAAATGGTGTTGCTCCAACAACAATCATCATGGGACACTTAAAGCGGAAGAATTGTTCGATTACAATGAATCAAATGGCTGCGCACGGTGTGTTCAAGTAGTGCCGGACTTAGAGAGAATTATTGCCCAACTCTGTAGCGCCCGTTTTCATTTTCTTCCCAACAAAAAGGTCAGCCTGCTGCTTTGGGTTTGTCTTTACTGTTTTGTTTAGCTCACTGTTACTGCTCTTATGGCATAGTTGTCAGTCACAGTAGGCAGATAAGGACACTCAGCTCCTGCCATCACTGTTGTGGCAGTTTTGGACTCCTCCTAACTTCCAGGTAGTCCAAACATGAACAAACAGGACATAGAGCATGAATGTAGCTGAAGCACCCATCTGTCACTGAAAGCGGCCACACCCTTAACTGTGCATAGCTTTAGGCCTCATGTATTTAAAGAGGTCGGTTATAGAAAGAAATGACCCCCCATGAAGTTATCATGGTTGCAGAAATTAGCTGTAGAGACCAAAACCATTGTTCGTATGAGACTGTAGATCTGTTTGAACTTTTTAACAGGGGGCTCAAAGGAATCGCTTTCGGAGTCAGCCTCATGTGGCCATTTAAGGAACTTGCCACATCCGTGTTGGCGTCACTTTTCAGCCCTGGAGGTTGCTGCTTGCTTATTCACACGTGGCTCATATTTGTCTGTTGGTTTAGGTGATCACTGATGTTGTTTTCACAGCTGCTGTCTTCAAGTGGGCCTAAAAAGTGCTATTTTAGGTTTAAACACAGGTTACAATATTTTTGGATGTAGCAGCAGTTTAAATATGTGTGTATCAAGCTGAATAAAATCATACCGAACCATATTTGTCTAAAGATTTTTTGCCCTTGCTGAGTCTGAATTCAAAACGCAACGCTACGTTTATTTTTTCACACCTCCGTCGTGTACAGGATGTAGAATTTTATGCTAATATCTCTCTCTCTCTCTCTCTCTCTCTCTCTGTCTTTTTCTTTGTCAGGTGGTGGGTGCTGATGCTGTAACCACTGTGTGGAGCTGACAAGCCCTGGTTGATGCAGTGAAGTGTTCCAGTGGGATAAACACAAGCGAAGGTAGGAATGAAAGACAAGGAGGGGAAAATTCAGAAAAGCAAACAGCTGAACATTTCAAAAATAAGGACGCAGCAGAGAAACACCATATGGGAGATTCGGGAAGAGACGAGGCGGATGGACGATTGGGAATAAGGAAACAGTGATGGGTAGAAAGGAAAGACGGAAGCGCAGTCGCTGCATCTGTTGTATACAGTACAGCTGGTGAATGGGTTTTGATTCACAGTCCACTGAATACCCAGTCAGTGGCTGCTGATAGATTGTGGTTAGTGGCAGGGAGGGCAAAGAGAGTTCGAATGGTGTTATTGGTGAGCTAATAGAGGTTAGACTTGGCAAAGATGAGCAGTGCTGTTTCTGTGCTCAGTAAATCCACACTGATGAAGCTTCAGGGCTGTAACAGGAGGAATCTTTCAGTGAGAGCTGAAAGGAGGCTGGGAGGCTTAGCTCTGCTGCTTGGCTTCCAATCTGGACCAGGTTTGCTTTTCAGGCCCATGTGGGAGCCGAGCTGTGTCTTTATTAAGGCTCAAGGAGCCCCTCGGTTTGGTTCCTCCTGCCGGACTACAGATGAGAGCTGTGTGCGCTGTGCAGTTGCATAAGAGAAGCACTTTGCTCCACTTTCATGCCGGCTGACTGCAAACGTTGTGTGTGTTTGCATGAAACAGAAACTGCAACCAGTGACCACCGAACACACTTCCTAATTCACAGAATGCCATGTCTTAATGCTCAAACGGTCCATCTGTGATGCTTCCAGTGGCATTTATGGGATGTACATTATGGACGCCAGCCTACAAGTTTAATAGCCAATGTGTGTTTGCGCTGCCCTATCGCAATTTCCATTCTGCCACTTAGAATTTCTTGCACCTAAGGGCCACCAGTGAGACTGAATGGCACCATGATGAAATGTGCTTTGACAAGACAAGGCCAAAGGAGCTGGGAGAGTGCTGCTGAGTGGTGAAACAGAGAAGTGAGGCAGAAAGAAGAGTTGGAGGGGATATTTTTGAGGAACCCATTCTGACGTCAGAACCAAAAAGGGAGAAGGAGCTGTCTCTTATTTGCGTACAAACTGAAATGATACAGACACACATCAGAGAAAGGCAGAAATGTAAATACCATGAACATGAATTATGCTCTGTATACCAACAGTCTCACCGAGCAAAGTATCATCTTCTGCGAACACAGCAGCATCTAGCGCAGAGAGCGAACAGAGAAAAACCACAGGTTTTTAAATAGATGTCTGAAAAAGAGAAGTGTGAAGTGGACAGACAAACAGAGAGCGAGAGAGACAGAGGGAGAAAGAGTGAGAGCAGAAGTTTACATCAGCGTCTAAGAAAAGCAGAGTGGCAACCAGTGTCACCGAGGGACTACGGTTATCATCGCGCTGAGCCGGGGTAACCTAGGACTTACTCACAGCAACGGTTTTAGAGAGCAGCAGAGAAAGAGGACGGGAGAGAAGAAACCGAGGGACAGAGATAAAGGAAGAGGTGACGCACTCAGAGGAAAAGAGGGTAAGAAGGGAGCAGCTGCTGGTTGGTTTTCTACTGTACCGATTTCAAAGCTTAACGAATGTTGTCTTTCTGTTCACCGTAAGCGTCGTGCAGTTAATTTAAACACAAACCTCACACATAGTAACGGCTGATGCATCAGATCGGTGTTGTAAGCAAATGACCCCGAGTGCGAGCAAACTGGATGCGTTTTTCTCCCATCTTCGGCTGAGACGAGCAGACGATATTGCCAGGCCAACAGTATCCTGGCAACCATCAGCCGAGCTCTGCTCTCGGGATGGACCGCATGCTGCTGCAGACTTGTGCTGATATGCGCGTGTGTGTGTGTGTGTGTGTGGCTGGTGTGAGGCTACCTCTAACACACAGACACGCTCGGCTATTCACATGTCAAAAATCTTTCATCGCTTTATACGAGGCTGTGATCTGGATCTCAGCTTGACTTCGCCTTTGCAATCACCTTGTCGGGCTGAAGATGAGAATCTGTTATTCATATATTCATAGCGCCGGTTTGGTGTGTGTCTTGGAGCAGGTGGTCTAAAAGTCAGGGCTGCGTTTTACACATTCGAACCGGCGCTCACAGGTTACAGCAGTGACTCAGCACACCGCTTCCTGGCCTCCCAACAGATTTAGCTGTAGGTAGATTAAGAAACACGACGCAGTAGATGCAGTCCTCGTGTGAAACTTTGGAGAATGTCAGCAAGCTGTCTCAGCGAGTGGACGGTGTAACGCCATCCCTGCTCCATCTGTACCTCAGTGCTGCATTGCAACACCCGTTCTTGCTGAGTAACCATGAAAAGATTTTTTTTTTTTTTTTTTGCAGGATGGGGGCATCTCGTAAACATGCTAATGCTGGCCATAAATCATTCTTGCAGGGGGAAACTGATAGGCCTCTGCTGTGTGCTAACATAGCACATAAACACACAGGGTAGGGCAAAAGGAAATGAAACTTGGCAGCTGCCTACCTTCTGCTACCAAAGTCCCTCTATGATCAAGAAGGGAGGAGACGATTAGGCAGCGAGGCTTTCATACCGGCACAGCTGAGAGTCATTTCTGAATATTGGATTCCTTTTTTAAATGTGTGTTTATTGTATATTTCTTATGTAACACACACACACACACAAAAGTCCACATGCGGCCTCTCAGTCCACCCACTCGCTGCTCTTTTAGCATCTGTTTGCCTTAAATCTGAATTTCTTTAAGTAGCTCTAAGGTTGTTAAATTCACCTCATTCTACGCTGAATGACAGCATCACGTATGTTCTGTATCAGCTTGTTCCACTGAAGCTGTACGATGATTAAAACCCTATAATGTTCACACATTGGAGATATTCTATCATTTTAAAAACACTTTTCCACTATTCAGCCTCACATATTTGGTATCTTTGGAAACTTTTGGACCTCCGCTATGATTTTGAATAATGCTCTGTGGGTTTCAACTACGTGTGGGCAGTTTGATACCTTAAGTACTGATACTACTAAGTTCTGCTACTAGCGTTAGTAGAATTGCTGCCAAAAAAACAGATCCAGCTGGGTGGTTAGGGCACATGCCTTGTGCAGCAGTGAGTTTATTTGCTGCATGTCTTTCCCTTTGCCTCTTTTCCTCTATTTTCTGTCTCCCTCCTGTTTTCTTTGGCTTCAATATGCCCCCCAAAAATGGATCTATTGTTACATTCTGGCTGGACCACACTGCCACCCTATCCATCAGCTCCTTTACACACAAAATCACCACTGTGATTTTAACATGCTTGTGATTAAATAGACAAGAGCAAAAATGGCAAATCATTTGCTGGTAATAAAACTATATTCAGAAGCCTGTTAATAATGCACTAGCTTCATAAATCATGACACATGAGTCTGCCCAGATAGCAGTTTATAAGCTGTTATTAATAATGGAAGCTGGGACTGAAGAGGCTGGAAACAGGGAACGCTGCCTTAAATTTAAACACCTGACATATGTTCGTTGGCCTGCTGATGTATATGAACAAGCATGCAGGCTTGTGTGTTCTGTCTTTCTGACCTGCAGTGCTATCTAATGAAGCTTGCATCATTGGTTTCATAAAGCCCTGGTAGCATGCTCTTAAGGTATAAAGAGCTTGTCATAAAGTATCTATAGACTAGTGGACATAAAGAGCATTAGGGGAAAGCAGTCCATACATGGCCGGCCTTTATTGGGTTTCTATAGTAATGTAAATGGATTAAGACCAGTGCTCAGCTCTAGTGAGTCCCAATGAGTGAGCTAAATGATTCACTACTGGATTTAGGTCCTCATATAATCAAATACAGCATACGCTGTGCATTGGGGGCAAACTGTGATCAGTGTCATTTCTAACTGGAATGTCTGACTTCACTCTGGACATATTGCTTAGACAGAAGGATGGAGCAGCAAAGGGAGATGGGATAATTAGATGAGTGCAGATGGGTAAAAAACTAAAACAGTCACAACCTGCTGTGTTCTCCATGTGCCTGTTGTGTGTTTTCTTGCGGGTTGCCAGGTTCTGCGTACTGTATGCATTTTGTTGTTTCCTCCCGTCCAGGTCGCCAGCCATGGGGAACCTCATTAAGGTCCTTGGCAAGGATTTAGAGAACTGTCCACATTTTTTCCTGGACTTTGAAAGTAAGTGAGCGCCAGGGTGTGTGCACGTGTCTGTGTGCTTGAGCTGTGAGTGCATGTGTGTGTGGAGCGGAGGTGTGCAGTGGGAGGTCGGTGCGTGGGGTCAGGGGAGGCGTGCTTGGAGGCGAGCTGCTGAGCTGTTGATGGTGTGATGGAGCGTTGCTGAGGGTGTGGTTCGTCATTACCAGACACTCTTTAGTCCCACTCTCAGCCCCGATGGTGTTATGCATACGAATATAAAGACAAAAAGATAAATACAACGACACAAAGAAGCATCAGCACGACTTAAAAACGGCAATATTTGCATTGGAGTACATCATTAGCTGTTAATTTTATGGGAGGGAATTTGAGAATGAATGACCTAAAAACAACCTATAATAATAATAAAAAAATATACAAGAGGGTGAGAGGGTGCACATTTGATGACAGCTTTTATCTCATGGAAACACACCTTCTTTTTTTACTTTTGCACTTCCAGTTTTCAGCAACAAGTCTGCTGACAAATGAGGACCTTCACATGAAACGGGGCAGTCCTAATTTATTATTAGCCTTGTTTATGAGGTCATGTTTGATCTCAAATTATTTTTATTCTGTCCCAGGTACATTTTTCTGTATTTGATTTTCCTTTCCCCCTCCCTAAAAGTGAGGAATAAGTCCTATTTGTTATTCTTATTTTTTTTAAAATTATTATTATTATTAGTGGCATTTTAAAGACTTTTGAATACATTCTTTTATTTATGTTTTTTATTGTTGTTTGTTTTCATTTGTGTGTTTCCAATTATTCTCATCTTATTGATTATCTCCATCAGTTCATTTATAATTCTTGGGAAATGCTCCGTTCCTACTCAGGCAAATATAATCTCATACACTTTAAGACTGATGCCAGAAAATTCCGTGTATCTGACGGTACATTGCTCTTTTTATTGTCGGTTTTGTTGCTGTATGTCGAATTCTCGTTCCATTCTGTGACCTTTAAACTGGAGGACCATCAGTGCCACAAATGAAACCTCTGAATGCTACCATGAGAGTGGGATTAAAGAAACTCTGCATCCATGTTGCCATGCTTCACCCAGGACATACTCCCACCATGCCATTCCAGCAACCTCCTCCCATCCAGTCCCCCACCTCGCCACCTTCACCACACACACACACACACACACACACACACTCTCACATACATCCACGTGCGCACAACCCCGACACCCATCCCCTCATCACCCACAGACTTCTCCCCTCTCTCTGTTCCAGGGGGCTCATGGGAAACCTCCTGAAAGTGCTGGCTTGCGCCGAACTTGAGCATGGCCCAATAGTTTTCCTTGACTTTGAACGTGAGACCATCTGCTTCTTATTTTTTTGAGTTATCCCTTTCTCTTTGTTGCCTTTCCTTTTTCGTTTTTTCCATCACTCCATCCATGTCAGCTGACCATTGTGTCATCCTTACATCCTTATTTACCCTTTAGTCCCTCCTCAGCTCTTCTTCTCTCTCCCCCCCTTTCTCTCTCGATTTCTGCTCCAGGGACTGGCATTTGAAAGTCATTTGGCTTCTTTCTAAAGGGTCTTATTCACACGCGCCACATCTTATTAGACGCAGACAGACACACAATAGCTTGGTGACACTGTAGCAAAATGACAACAATGAAGCTTTGATCTCCTGAGCTGCAAAAACTGAGGAACCATAAAGAGTGAATGCCGGTCCTGTGTGGGTTTCTGTTGCTCGGGGATGATGATGGCTAACAAAAAAGTCTATCGTCATCCCTCCACCTCCTCATCTCCTCATCCCCTTTTGTGTGTCTGACCTATCTGTGTGTCTGTGTGTGTGTGTGTGCTTTTGCACTAAACAGTGTGCAAGTGAGTGGGACTGATAAAGTGAAACTGAAAGTGATAAATAAAAATCACCCCTGTCCCTTCTTCTCTCATTTTCCCAGTCAGTGAATTCTAAACTTTGCTGTGTGAAAACTTTCATCCTAACAAGTCATTTTATTTCACTACTCAGTTTTGCAATCTTTGAACTGTTTTTGAACCACTGTATGAAAAGATCATCCTAATTTAGCATCCACTAATTACAACAGTCAAGCTGCTTGCGCGGCTAAAAAAATCTAGAATAAACCCAAATGTTAAAGGGGTTTGTCTTGAATTATTTATTTCCTTGAAACCAAATTTAGATTTTTTTTTTATTTTTATTACACTGGATTGCTTAAAATCCAAATCAAAAATCCTCTCCTGAAGATTTTAAGACTGATCATGAGACTAAATGAATTGTTAAGATGAAGATATTTTGCACCGTGTCATATTCTGCCCCTCCTCAGCCACTTTTCCCCCTTTAACAGCTGGCTTCCTCCTCCTCCTCCTCCTCCTCCTCCTCTTCCTTTACCGGCTCTGTGTTACAGCAGGAGTGGGAGAGCTCACTGCTGGCGAGAGACGTCAGCTGTCAAATAGGTTGAATTTCCCCTTCATTTATTATGCCTGTGATTCACTTTACTTCAAAAGCAAGTGGAATGAGTCAGACTCGGGAATGGCAGCTTTAGATGCTTCCCTCCCCCTCCTCACCCACCAGCCCGGTGCCATCTGTGAGCTCTCCTCCTCAACCCGGAGACACACTCACCTCTGTCACACAGCCCTGTGTTTGGTTGAAACTGCGCCGAAAGCTCTCATGAAGCTATTTACGGCTGAATTGTTGTTCCTCGTTCAAACTGTTAGGAGCAAATGTGACAACGAGTAAAATTTCGTATTTAAAGTTTCCATCTCAATGACGTGAAAATGTAGCTGCTATATTCAAGGAAAAGATCCGAATTAAACCAACTTTTACTCCTTCAAGCATCTCAAACAAATGGTTTGTTATTTCGGGAAGTGTACTTGGAGACTTGATGCCTCTCTCATGTCTCTAAGGTAAATCTGAAGCTAAAGCTAGCAGCTGGTTGCCTCAGTTTAGCATAGCATCAAAACTTAAAGTAGAAGAAACAAACGAAATGTGAGAAAAAGATTAAAAAAAAAAAAACACAATAATAAATCAACTACCAACACAGTTGAGCTGACTTATAAACATTTTACATTTCACGTGTTTAGTAAAGCCAAAAAGTAAAAATGACAGTTTGTAGTTTCACGGTGAGGACTATTTTTTTGGCTGGACGTAGCTACTTCCTTGAGTCATGTTAATAAGATGGCACTTTATGCCCAACAAAATGCCGGCCGTTGGAGAGATAACATCGACTGTGAGTCATGACAACACTGCTGCTAGGCAACAACATCATGGACGTAACCGTCGGTGGCTAGACCCCACTGATGCTAACCACTTAGCAAGCTAGCAAGCTAGGGACATAATGTAGGAAATGCAAAGGCATAATGAAAAGCTGCGAGAACATCAATATTTTTCTCAGACATTATAAAATTACAAAGAACAACTCATTACAGTGAAAATTACAATATATCAGCTTACCTTACAGTGAAAAAGGAACTTCCATGGCCTCCATCGTTTCTGACAACACGAGCAAACACATCACAAGCTTTCAGAGAATTTCCACGTTACGGTGGGAATTGCACAAAATAAAGGTGTTTATGTGGACTCTTCTTAAACATGTTAAACACTAATCCATTTGAAAATACCTATAGAAAGGCACCAAATGCAAGCCATGCCTTTTTTTTTACAGTATCGTGCTCTATAGTTACCATTTCACTGGAGTGTCTAAATTAAATGATGAATGGAAGTGACCAAGTTTAGTGTCTGATGTTTCAATTTACTGCTCACTATTGTCCATCATATAGTGACTATTGAATAAGTGAACAAGATGGTGATGTAAAAAGAATCAGAATCAGATTTCCCCTGCTTCCTGCCTTTATTCTAAGCTAAGCTAACCGTTTTAGGACTCCAGGTTCATATTCAGCACACAGAGTGAAGTCCTTTTCAGATTGGATATATAACATTTCTGCTTCATCAGTCTGTGACGGCCTTCCGTCGCTCAGATAGAGGTCACTTTTACATTATTATACCTTTTGGCTTCATTCAGACAAACCCACTGCAGTGACGATCAATATTTGGCGCATTTGCGAGAGTACAAAAAAGGTTGAAGGACCTACGAATAAACCACAGACTAAACTTATAACAAAGCCTCTGTAAGTGCCATAACAACAGTGGATAGTTTAGGATCATCAGCACTAGAAAGCAGATCATAATGTTAATGGTGATATAAAACACTGCCACAGAGACAACAGAACTCACCTGGGCAGCTTGTTCTATAGGACCACACTGCCTGTCAGATATGTGTCCTTATCCCTTAATGCGACTACATGCAGCTTCAAAGAGATATGAGATCAAACATAGTGAGATTGCTTTTGCGACTTTTACGTAAAACTGACAAGTTTTGACGCTCATTCAGACATGATGCTGACATGTTTGTATATCCTCAGATTAAAGAAGTGCATGTCTAGAAGGATTGATCTTTCAGGTCCTGGCAAGACAGTGAACTATTCCTTTTTTGCCAAGAGATCATTTAATTAATACCTAGTAAACACAATATGTTGTTGTTTACCAGAAGAATGAAGGAGCACATTAGTGAGCAGTCACCAGAAGAGCGGCTCTTGCTGTGCTTATTATGGCAGCCGGTGTGCACATAGGATGGCAAATATTCCATGATTACTAGTTCTCTGCAGGGAGGCAGTGCCTCAGGGTGCAGAAATAATCAGCAGTGCTACCTCATGTAGAGGACTGCCTGGGCACACTCCCACTCTGGCTTTATACACAGACAAAGGCAAGAGAACTAAATACAATGACGACTCAAGAGGACACATCCTAAATTGTGTCCCTCAAATGCTTAATCCCTCCCGTGTGCATGCAGCAAGACACATACGCAAACAAAGCACAACTAGAACTGGGAGGTGCCCTGCAGCAAAACGCCGAGTTTACAGTATGTGCGCTGCTCAGTGCGTACGTGTGAAACAGATAAAGACTGAACATGCCCAGAGGTTGTCCCTCCTGCTGCTTGCTTGTTTTACCATTTCTCACAATTAAACCTCAAGGGCAAAATAAAAAAAAAAAGTCTCAACCCATTCATAGAAGTGAAGGAGGGAAATAGAAAGTGAGAAAAAAGATGGATACGACTATTACATCAAACTGATGGGACAATTACACCTATCCAGGCCTGTATAAATCTCTACTGAATGGACATGAGCGACGATTACAGTTCAGGAGTCAGACACGTAATCCAAGTCCAGCCGCTTTCACAGAGCCTGAGAACCGTCAAAATTTTAAACTATTCGTTGTCGCTCCCAAATTGTTCCCTGAAGTGGAACTGACTTTCCTTGTCTGTACTCAGTGACCAAACACTGTGATCAAACCTCATTGTGTGACAGAGTGTGCCTCATAAGTCTCTGGTTGTAATTCTACGAGTAAATTGGATCATTTATTTGCTGGCCAGATTCTGACCTTCGGTATTTATGGCTGCAGGTCCACTAAGTCGGATTAAATGCAGTAATTTTCACTCGTGGAGATGTTTAGTTGTTATTGCAGTCACGCAGCGAGCAATCTGAGGTTTTTATCTGGCCTTCTAGAATATCTTCACTTCAGCTCTTCCTTCCTCACTAACGACATTCTCCTTTCAAATCTTCTCTCCCTGCTTTCTTTCATTTTCTCTCCCCGCCACCACCTCCCCTCGACATTTTCGTCTCTTCCTGCACCTTACATCACACTTTCACTTCCCACTCCCTCTCTTTCCCTTTTTTGCTTCCCTCCCCTCGCAGATGCCCAGCCCACGGAGGCAGAGACGGCCGTGTGGAACCAGGTCAGCGCCGTGCTGGAGGAGGCTCATGGGATCCTGGCCGAGCTGCAGTCCTATAATGGCGCGGGCCAGGAGATACGAGAAGTGAGCGCCGAGCAGTCGATAAGTGCTGAACGTCAATAAAGTGTCGAGCGCGCGGCGCAGCGTGGAAAGATAACACTCATGTGTGAATCACGCGGGCTGCCGGGGTGTAGTTCTGACATGTAGCGTATCATGCAGCACACACTAAATATAAGCAGGAACAGAGACGTGTGAAAGCATTTTTCAAACAAACATTTCATGCAATATGTTGTGTTTCGTGGTAATGTTGTGCTAGAGGCATAAATATCCTCCCATACGCTGGTCTTGACGAACAGCAGCTACGGCGCACAGCGTTGAGATTCAGCTTTTCCTCAGCGACACATTACTGCAAACAAGCTTCTCCTGCAGTAAATGCTGAATCATTTCCTCTCATTTCTTCCTAACTTTGAGGACTTAAAGTACGTTTTAAGGACACTATCCACATGCACCTGCAGTCATGTTCAAGCCTCAGCTGCAGTGGGGGCCTTGCTACCACTGCCAACATGCAGGAGTGTTTTTATGTTTCGCTAATTTCACCAGGACACCATATGTGCATCAATTCACCTGTAAAAATTCCCCATCAAATGCACAACTTACTCTTATTTGATTCACATTTGCTGCAAACTACAGTGCCCGGCTATTTGAAGACATTAATTAGTCTTTTGTAAAACAGATATTTCTGACCTGTTTTTAAAGATGTACATCTTAAGTAGGAACAAAGTGGCTTGGGGAATGCCATAAATAGAGTAGGGAAGTTGGAAAGCACTGAGATTGCAACTACAACAGCTTCAGTTTTAGGCATTTCATTGGCTTTGTTAAAAAAAGAAAAGAAAAAGAAAAATGGAACGTTATGTTTTAGGAAATTATGCCTCCACTTATGTGGTTTGGCGAATTCTATCTAATGATGCTAATGTTGTGTATTAGAAATTTAGTTGATAGGTTTTATTAGTAAATCCTATCTGAATCATGTTTTTAATCTGTGATACTGTGTCAGGTTTTTGCTTGTCACTGTAGCAGGAGGAGGTCCGATCAAACTGAAAGTGAAAATGTTCCACTAAAGTCAAAAATCGCTTCAAGGAAGTGAGGACAGAGAAGATGGGAAGCTTTCAAAAATAAATTTTTTGGAAAGTAACATCTGCCTGTGTTACTCGCCTGCAGGCCATCCAGAACCCAGGTGACCTCGCTCTTCAGGAGAAGGCCTGGAACGCAGTCTGCCCCCTGGTGGCCAAGCTGAAGAGGTTCTACGAGTTCTCTCTCCGACTGGGTGAGCATGGAGTCTGTTGAAAGAAATTTCAGAGAGTGATGCAATTCCCTCTCTGGTGGCCATATTGGAGGTCCAACACGAGTTAAAATATAGCTGCCAGCTCTGTAGCCCGTATCTACAGAGGCGTTACTGCTGTCAGCTACCCAAACACCAAACAAACAAGGCTTTCTGTGTGCTTATCAACATGTGCATTTTCTTCACCTTGGTAGGTGAAAGTGATGAAGGGCTAGAGAGTGAGAGAAAGAGGAGGATCCCACACATTCATGTCTGTTTGTCACACTTGGTGACAGAGATATGTGTGAAATAAGCCGCTTTGTTTTCTTATTTAGCATTCCCAGCACATTAAAGTGTAGCAGCATTGTAGTGGTTTCACAGATTAGTACTGCAACTCAACACCAGCTATTGTCTTCTTGAAAGCTATTCAACGTTTCCAGGACGTGAGACGCACAGTATGTGACAGACAGTATTGTTAACACTTGGGGACTGTGACATACACAGTCAAAAGAAAGATATTTTAATAAGAGCACAATGAACACATTGTGCACGTTCCGTTAAATAGAGGAAGATTAATTTGAAGGTGATGAAATTGTCAAGCAACGTTAAAGAGGCTTATCATCATCGTTTTACATTCAGTCCGAGAGCATTCCTCCACACACACACACACACACACACACTCACACACACTCCCTCATACACTATGATGTCCTCTCAGCCATCTCTGCAGCATCCTGACCTAGCAGCCAGGCAGCCGTTGCTACGGAAACAGTGGTACATGGTCGTCCAGCACAGAGAGAGATGGAGAGAGTAGAGAGAGAGAGAGAGAAGTACGAGCAGAGAAATGGAGTTCAGCTGCCGCCTCTGCTCTGCCTTCCAATAATACTTCGATCTCAGGGACATTGTGTTCTCAGCTTACCTTACAGTGAGGGCCAGCTAACTAATAATTGATGATTATTTATCAGAGCTAATGTATCTGTGAGATGCAGGACAACAGACATTGCGTTGCTTCCACCCTGTTAGAAAGAAAGGGATCAAGTCCTAATGACTCAGAGAGTGCAGTCGACATCCCTCCTCTTTTTGCTCGCAGCACCACCTGCGTTTTATTTCTTTATTGGATCAAAGGGGGCAGTAAGAGATTAAGAGGCTCCGTGTATCGTCTCTATATCCAGTCTGTCACTATAAACCGTCAGGAGTCAGTGAGGATGGGGGACCGTGCGCTCTGTGCTAACAGCAGGAGGGAGACTGGGGTTTCTGCCCAGGCCCTTTAGATGAAACACTTCGGCGCTGTATTTATAGAAGGCCCTTATGCATTTTTAATGCCGAGGAAGGAACGGGGCCTCAGGAGGCTTTGCTTCTGAGGCATCATTTCTACACACAGCCTCTGGGGTCTGGCTCTGGTGTCTGATTTGTTACATGCAGCAAGGCAGCAAAAAGGCTTACTTCAATACGGTGTGTGACGCAGGGGGATATGTTTGGTCACTGATACAGGAGCCACAAGGGTGCAAGGCTGTATGGTCAGTGTGATCTCTATTGAGCACCACTTACAGTGTGTGTTCATTTGTGTTGTAGAATGAAATATATTATTAATGCCTGTAGTCTTAGAGGGTAAGAAGTGTCCTGCTGAACAGCAAAACCTTAAAGAAGGTCAAAATAAGACCGCCAAGAGAGTCTGCAACCAGGCTGGCAGCTCTGACAATCTGCAGTTGGACAGTTTGAATGAAACATTAAGCAGGTAGAATGTTTACCACGCTAACCATGTCAGTTTAGACAATCAAAATAAATAATTGAGGAGTAAATTAAGGGAACAGCATTGATTTTTACACAGTGTCAGGGAGTAGCACTGCATATTTAGATAAGTTGTATGTGTAGACTGACACTACTAGTCTTCGAATGATCCCTTTAGTGCAGGTAAAATACTGTTGCTGGGCTGTAGTTTACAATTTCTAGTCACTTAAATCTTAGCAAAAAGAGACTTGCAGGAAGCTCTGAGCTCAGAGGGGACCCAACGGTTTGTTACTTCAGTTGTGCAAAAAAGGGCAGAGTTCAACAATGAACTTGTGATGTCCAGCAAAGACATGACAACAAACAACAAAGTAAACCAACTTTGTCTGTTTGCAGTAGTTAAAATCCTGCTGCTTTGTTTTCAAGCTGGTGACATGAAACAGTCTTCAGATCCAGATTAGAGAGAATTACAGCAGCCTGAGCAAAAAGAGAGATAAACGCCCGTACAGTTATGACACGCAGATCATAGCTGGAGCACATAAATGTCTGACATGGACGTATACTTGCAGAGAACGCCTTGCGCAGCCTGCTGGAGGCACTGACAAGCCCGCCGTACGCTCCCATGCAGCACCTGGAGAGAGAGCAGGCTCTTGCCAAACAGTTTGCTGAGATCCTTCACTTCACGCTCAGCTTTGATGAACTAAAGGTGAAATTCCTCTTCTTTTTTTTGTTTTGTTCTAATTACAGCCCTCAGACGCTGACCTTCACTGTACCGAAAAATCAATCTAGTCATTGAAAGGTGAAAACACGCTTAACCTCCTCTCTTGCTGTGCAGATGACAAATCCAGCCATTCAGAATGACTTCAGCTACTACAGGAGGACTATAAGCAGGAACAGGCTGAACAACCAGCAGGTGAGACCTTGGAGACGCAGCGTTTGTGTTGCATACGTGATCAAGCGTTGAGTCGAAGCAGCTTTCGCCTCACTTTCTCTCTTTAATCATTAATGACTGAAGTGGAGGTGTTCCTTTCCTCCTAACAACACAAAGAGATGTACAATCAATATTTCATTTGACATTCGAGTTACACAAATTAGAGCCACGATTGAATTTCTGATTACGCTCTCATTTTACCACTTCACCATCATCAGATTGGATGATTAATGTTTTTTTTGTTTTTTGTTTTTTTTTTTAAATATGACATCTGTTTTGTTTGTTGGCATGCAGCTGGAAGCAGAGAATGAGGTGAACAATGAGATGGCCAATCGGATGTCTCTGTTCTACGCCGAAGCAACACCGATGCTGAAGACTCTGAGTAACGCCACCACCAAGTTCGTTTCAGAGGTACGTTCTTCAAACGGTCACATCCGTGCATGTGTACATCCACTCTGTCGAGGCTTAGCTACTGAGCTTCTGGTTTTAATTACTGTCATTGAGGGAAAGCATCAAGTAAAAGTAAACTGACTTACAGGGCAGCCAAAAAAAACACATCTTGGGAGTATTTCCTTTAAGATGACAAGTCAGGGACGTAGGAAGTATTCAGATTGTCAGTAAACTAGCTCCAGTACTCGAGGACTTCCAAACACGTAAAAGCCTTCCACTAAAAATATTATGAGCAGTGAAACGCTTCCTTTTATTGCTACTCAGTTTTACAGTCATGGATTATTATTATTACTAATGCATTAATGTGTAGGTGAGATTTTACAGCTGTATTTGTATAAGATGGAGGTAATTTGAAGCAGTTTAACCTGCAACAGAGATTCATATTTAATAAGATAATTTTTGATTTGGATATTAAATCATAAAAACCTCCTCCTCTGGTGGAAATCAAGTTTATCTTTTATCTTGTTAGCGCGTCCATATGGTGTTTGTTTTATATGCTAGAAGACACATTATGAGCAAAATTAAGCAGTCATTTCCACCTCTGAACTGTAGAGTTGTGACGACAGCCTCGACAAACATGCATTCGGGGTTTCATATGTAATGAGCCTGAGGAAGCAATCCCTTCTACTTGCAGGGTGGGCCTCATGTTTCTTCTTCAGTTCCAGTTTAATCACATGTGGCTAAACTACTCCGTTACTACCACTCAACATTGTGTAGCATAGAATAAGTTTGTTGTGTTTAGGCAGACTTGTGAGTGAGCTCAGAGACTCTTTTTTTGGAGGGTTAATCACTGATCAGAGGCTTTAATCTGTAAAGCAACTAAAATACAATTGACATGTCAGACAAATGAAGCGGAGTAAAAAAAATACATTTTCCCCTGAAATATAATGGAATAGAAGTATAAAGCAGCACAAAATGGAAAGAACAAGCTCCTCAAATTTGCTCTTGAGCACAATAAGTGATTAAATGGACTCAGTTACGTTCCACCGCTGCCTAAGGCTAATGATTGATCACACGTCAAAGCCTATTGAGTGATTACTCGACTGTGCAGAATGACCAGATCAAACATTCCTCCTCCAAGAAAACACAATCTCCGTAACCATTAATCACGGCCTGATCAATACCAACATACCTCTACTGATCAGCCTTTGGTGCCTTTATGTGTTCAGTGTCAGTTTTAACCACACAAAGCAGAGCCTCTTAACTACAGAGCACAGAAAATGGAGGCGAAAAAAAACAGAGTCAAGTTAAATAAAATACAACCACTCTATAACTTTTGCAATTTAGTGGTATTAAATTTTAAATACATACAGATGTTTATTGCTGTGTTGGTGTAAAATTCATCCTGGTGTTTAGTTTGGATCTGTTGTGGTGCACTTGAGCCGTTGCCCCAATGTTGCGTGAAAACTCTCCACTTCTCCTTCCCTTTGCTGTCAAAACACAGTTAGCGTGGAGGCAGCAGTCTTTTTTTTTTGCTAACTTTACACCTCAGCGCATCCTGAAAAATACTTTTGAGACTCATGCAAAATGTAGAGGACATGCTGGTGATGATTGCTTTTCAGCCAAGTAGCTCCTCGTACTTGGACTGAACTCTGCCGATGTACTTTGTCGCCACCTTGTGGTAGAACAGTGCGTCCAGTCAGTGGATGAAATGCAACAATGGTTAGATTTGTGAGCATTATACATGGAATTAATGCTCTCTGATTCCTCCTTTGTCTTTGACCAGAATAAGACCTTGCCCATAGAGGACACCACAGACTGCCTGAGCACCATGGCCTGTGTGTGTCG